GAGAACACCTATGGCAGAGAAGACAATAAACAAGAAGTAGACAGAATGACTGCCAGTGGCCATCAGCAGCCTCTGTCCCATCTTGGCACAATGTGGACATGAACAGGACAGCCATGGTGATCCAGACGGGGGCATGAGCCTAACTGCATGGGCTCCCACTCTCCAGAGCTGATTTCAATTTTGCTTCTGCTGAACGTCCAAACCTGTCAGCAACAGAGACAAGTTCTGAGCAGCCAATACGGCACCAGCTCTCCAGACCAACTTGGTGTCAGGTTGATTACACTAGACACTTTTCACCCTGGAAAATGCAGTAATTTATCTAGACTGAAATCCACACAGATTCCTAATATGGGTTTGCCTTTCTTGCCTGCACTGTTCTCCACAGGCTAACAGAATCTGTGACCTGCTGACTTCGGATCCCACATAACATTGAAGGGGACAAAATGACACACGTAAAGGGAAGGAAGTTAGACAGGAAGCACACGATCATGGGATCTTCTCTCTAAATACAAAGATGTTTAAACTCTCTACTCCCCACCGGACCTATACACATTGGGGTATCAAATAAGACTAGACACATTCTCTATGAATTCTCTAATTTTTGAAAGCCTTTCCCTGACGATTTGGGCCTCAGCCAGAGCACTTTCCCCAGTGCTCTACTCTACTTTCATTGTTCTCTTCCGAACATGGTTATGGTGTCCGTTTTCATTATTCCTCTCTTTTTTTCCTGTCTTATCTTACTCTCATACAATCTTGCCCTTACTCTATATAATACAGTTCTTGGAATTTATGTCCCAACATAATGTTGCCAGCAGTGTTGAATTATAGCAATGTCCCTTTGGTTCTTCTAACAGCTAAAAACAAAATTGAAAAGTAAAAGCCTGTTAAGCAGATAGTAGCTTCTAACAGGTTAGTGGTCACAAAATAAGAATCAGGTTGATGCATCACACAGGGAAATTTTTTCCTATACCTTCTGTTCTCCAATCCTTCTGAATAATTGTTTAATTAATAAAAATATTTTCTTTTTCCCTTAAGAGATCTTTTCTCTGCTTCTACAAAATACAGGCAGGATCAAATTTGGTTACCTCTAATTTTTTTCATCTTCTCTTTATCTTATGTTTTCTATTCAAATATGTTAAAAGCCTAGAAAAAATACGTTCCTCCTCAAATCAAGATTTTTTTTATCTCTTCATTAAATGCAACTTTCCCTGTCTGACTTGACATGTACACATTACTATATTTAAAATAGATAACCAACAAGGACCTACTGTATAGCACAGGGAACTATACTCAATATTCTGTAATAAGCTAAATGGGAAAACAATTTGAAAAAGAATGGATACATGTATATGTATATAACTGAATCATTTTGCTGTACACCTGAAACTAACACAACATTCTTAGTCAACTATGCTCCGATATAAAATTTTAAAAAAATTTTTAAATGCAACTTTCCCAATATTCTAACCATGTGAGCAAAAGTCAACCAACTCCTCAAAATTCACACGTTCATTTCTAAGGCAGGTTCACAGTGGTTTCATTTATCAACATGAACTTCTCTCTTTTCCCAGAAAAAAAATTTGTACATTTGGCATTTTCTAGCCCCCATTTCTGTGCCTCCTATTCGTATTTCCATTGTCACCTTCTGTTTTATTCATCCAGCTTAAAACATCACAGTGTCTTTTTACCCATACAACGTTGTCTTCTCATTTCTGTAATATGCAATTTTTCTCTTTTAATAAAATCTTGGTCTGTTTAGCTGTATTCCTGGAGCATCAAGCCAGAAGTTCTTGTTATTTTTTTCCAGTTATTTCTTCCAAAATATATCACACATTACTTTACTCTTGAAGCTTACATCACCCTCTTTTATCCCTAGCAAGGAATGACTACAAATATGCCTCCTGGAGTAAATCTTAGTTATTTGATAATCGAAATTCCCATAACATAATCCCCAGGCAGCCCATACTGATTTATCTTTTGAATCTTTTTCTGACGATAAAATATTACTGAAACAATTCAGTAATGTCTGTGTTTTCATGGCTTCAAATAGGTTTCCCTTTTCCATTTGGGCTTCCCCTTTCTTTACTTAGATCTCAAGAGGATTGGGAGGGATCTGAAAGAAAATAAACCCTTAAGTCCCAATAACAGATGAGCCTTAAATAGTCCAGCAATAAACCGGATATTTTTTCAAAGACCACACATTCACAGATAAAGCATTAAGCATTTGAAAAATACTAGGCATCTGGAGTGTAAAATATGTGTGAAATTAGCACCCAGCTAAATTGGACAGATAAATCCTTAGTAAAAGGTGGAAAGACTGTAACAAAACTAAACTTCGAAAAAAGTCTTCCATAATTCATCAACTTCGACATATTGACTTTTTGGAAATTTATTTTTAGTGAATTGTCCTGAGAAATTGTTTGGAGAAATGTCTAGCCTCAGTTGCTTACACATTCTTCTTCTATCAAGGTTCCAGGTTTGCGTATGGGCAACACAGCTGGTGTCTGATCCAAGACCTTAGTCTACACCTTAATGCTACCCTACCTGGTGTTGCTTTTTCTTGTGTCTTTCTCTCAAGATTTTAAGTTCTGTGAAGGTTGGGAATATACATCACATCTCATGCCTCTTTATGTTCCTAGTACCTTGCACACATATATTTGGTAGCCAGCATGTTAGCTATGAGGTGAGACCAGGGCACCAATCCAATTTCCTCACCTTTGAGGGGGTGGTTAGGGGAACCCTCAAAAGATATTCCCTCCTAACGGTGGTTCAAAAGTTTCATCTTTCTATATGAAAGACATATTATTATTACAACTAAATTGAGAGTATTCTGGAGGGGAATAAAGTTTTCCTGCCCTATTCTAACCCCATCTAACTTGACTGAAGTCTGTTCCTTTTCTTAAGTGGAAACTGGGAAAAGGAACCATATGTTATCCTACCAATTATTGTATAATTTTCATATAATAAACTTTGAATTGCAAGAGATTTCTGTTATTGAGACTTCCTTTTAGTAGGAATTTGAATTATTTTAATAACCTGTTATTTCTATTTCGCAATGATGCAAAGCCTAACCAGAAAGCAGAGCTTCTCAAGCTATGAATCTGGGCTTCTGGCTATTTTATTAGACATGCCTCCACCATTCCCCCAGATATTATAACCACTGTCTGACTTGCCTTCACCTCTGACCCTCAGGGAGAAAGGTCTACCCATATCTGCTCGTGAGACTCCTCTCTTATATTTCAGATGTCCTGAGCTATCCTGTAATTACCTCCTGGATGTCTCCTTGATTCTCAGCTAGGGAAGTCTCTCGTCTGGTCCAGCTTGGTGCTGTTTCCTGAAACTCGTTTATTAGGTTGTTATTAAAGCCTAAATTTACCCTCTTGTGAAATCTGATTAATGCCCATTATTCTAAGGTATATCTTGTTTATATGCTACCATAGCATTTTTCATATTATATTTTAACTATACTCACATCTGACGTCTTCACTATTTTCTGAACATTCATTTTTCCCCTTATCCTCAAACAGACAGTTCTGTCTCTCATAATATACGCTTTCATACTAGGAAGAGCCACCTTTTCTGCACATGAAATGACTAGATTCCCAAATCTCCTAGAATATAGTCTAATCAAATCCAAAACTTCTAGAACATAAGCTCCATGAGAGCAGGGAGCTTCCCTGTGTTCATCACCATAGCCTGCTTTACAGAACACAACCTGGCAATGGTCAGATCTAGTCTCAACAATGTTTGTGGTACAAAACAGTACTTGGTTAATATGCAACATTATGAAGGGAACCGCGTTATATCAGTTTCTTTAGATACTTGTCAATCATAAAGACTCCCATAATCCTTTCATACCCTACAGACAGAACATTGTCTAGGATTTAAAATTTTTCCATCGCTGATATTTTACATTCTTGTGGTTTCACAAGAACACTCTTATTTCAATACTCAAATAATTGTCATTTTTAAAAGGTTTACAGGTTCTGGGCTTTCTGCTTATAAAGTGACTGCCATATCCACCTAGAAACTCAAGCAGCTGATATGATCTTGGGTACAAAGAGCAGTCCTTCAGGATGACTTGAAGAGGCAGGCCACCCCACCCCTAGATGCCTCCTGTGTGCTCCAAGCAGTTCAGACTGTTTCCTGACATGGAATGGCCAGGAACCCTACTCTGCATGGGCCCCGGAGCTCTGTAGGAAAGAACTGAAACCTGACCAGCAATTGGAGTTTGGACATCTGCCCATTATATGGTACAAGGGTTCCCTGAAAGAAACCAGACTAAGGGAAGAGAAAGTCCAGCATTGAAAACAAAAACAAAAACAAAAATTGCCCAAATGGAGACAACAGCCTGACCAAGTGGGCAGACTGAGCTTCAAGGAAGATGGGTTCCAAGGACTGTGTTCAATCTGGGTCCATGCCTGGGTCTGAGCCTAGCGGGAGGGGAGCAGAGTGCCTAAAGGTTAGCAGCAAATGGGCAATGAGGGCGGCAACAGATCAGTGACTCACTGAAACAAAAGGTTCATGGAACAGCAATGCAAAAGCAGATGGAGAGGCCACAGCTCTAATTATGTGTGAGACCCTGTCAGACTTCTTGGGAAAAACTCAATGAGGTGAGAAAGACTGGATTTCCTACCAAACAAGGCTCAGACCATTGTTCCCACCCGCTACCTCCAGCTAGAGGAAAGATACGTGGCATGAGTAAGAAGCATTAAGCTGAAAGGAAAGGAAAAAAACTTTTCAAAGTTTAAGTCATGTCACCAGTTCAGCGCCTAGCAGCTTTTTCGACAAAAATGTACATTCGTGTAGAAAGGAAAACAATGAATATTTGAAAGTCTCTTGTGTCATAACACCTTGTGAAGGAAGATGAATGGATGCAGATGGTCTAGACCAGATGGAAATAGGAGTGTGGCACCAGGAAGGTGTGCTCACCATCAGACTCATTCAGCATGAGTGTGTTAAAGGGAAATACCACTGAAAGGAGCAATGTAGCAACTCACCAGCACCTTGGCAAGAGCTGGAGTATCCAGGTTCCAAGTCGGCAGAGCGTGCAGGAGCCACAGTGCACAACGCCTGGAGTGAGGGCACGAGGAACCTGAAATAACAAAAAAAACTTACGACTCCTGAAATAACAAAAACAACTTACGACTGGCTGGGTATGTTCTGTGTTCTCTGTAAGTTCTCATATATTCATTTAGTCCTCAAGACAGCCCTATAAGGTAGGGACTATTATTACACCCCCATTTTACAGATCAGGGAATTGAAGCACAGAAAGGCTGAGTAACTTGCCCAAAGTCACACAGAGGTACCAAGTAGCACAGTTGAGATTCACACCCAGACCGTCTGGTTTCTTACCCTAATGCTCCCAAGTGCTCCTCAGACGATAGTTCTCCAGCACTTACTCTGTGCCTCATTCCCTTCCAAGCACTTTGCACAGGTTAACACATTTGAGGTTGCAAGTCACGATAAAGACAGTGGAAGATAAAATTTACCTAGGGCTTCCCCTGACATAGAGTAACTTAAAAAAAGAAAATTACTGGGATTCACTAATCTTCACTACTGCAGAATGAAACCTGAGAAGGAAATGAACTAATATTAAGAAAATAAAAAGGCATAGCTATAGTAAATATTCTGAATTTTAAAATCATAGGATTCTAATGTTGAAAACAGAAAGTGAAGTTGTGTCATTAAGTCATAGAATACTGTAGAACAATGAAAGTGAATGAAAAAGAAATAGTGCTAAATGTATCAACCTGAGGAGATCCCCAAAAATAAAAATATTGAGTGAAAAAATCAAGTTGCAGAATGATACATGCAGTGTGATATCATTTCTATAGTTTTCTAACAGCTTTATTGAGGTATAATTGCTATATAAAAAGCTGCACATGGGAGTTCCCTGGTTGCCTAGTGGTTAGGATTCCGGGCTTTGACTGCTGCAGCCTGGGGCTCAATCTCTGGTGGGAGAACGGAGATCCCACAAGCCACGTGGCAAGGCCAAAAAAAAAAAGCTGCACAAATTTAATGTGTATATTTTAATGGGTTTGGACATATGCACACACCTGTGAAACCATCACCACATCAAAGTAATAGATATGTCCCCACTTCCAAAAGTTTCCATCTGCCTTCGTTCCTTCCTTTTGTAGTAAGAAAGAACACAACACAAAATCTACCCTCTTAACAAATATTTAAGTGCACAATACAGTCCTGTTAACTGTAGGTACTATGCTGTACAGGAGATCTCTAGAACTTATTCATCCTGCATAACTAAGACTATAGACCAATTCAACAATAATTCTATAAGTTTTGGGGTAGGTAAAAATATATGGTAACAGGCTTCCCTGGTGGCACAGTGGTTGAGAATCTGCCTGCCAGTGCAGGGGACACGGGTTCGAGCCCTGGCTGGGAGGATCCCACATGCCGCGGAGCAACTAGGCCCGTGAGCCACAACTACTGAGCCTGCACGTCTGGAACTTGTGCTCCGCAACAAGAGAGGCCACGACAGTGAGAGGCCCGCGCACCGCGATGAAGAGTGGCCCCAGCTTGCCACAACTAGAGAAAGCCCTTGCACAGAAACGAAGACCCAACACAGCCAAAAATAAATAAATAAATAAAATTTTAAAACATTAAAAAATATATATATGGCAACATTTCTAGACATGAATGAGAATGATAACCACACGATTCCAGATGCTGGTTACCTCTGTGGAGGTGGAAGGGAAAGTGAATGAGGAGAATACCCAAGGGGCTTCCATCTGTTTTTCTTAATGTGTTATTTATTAGGCTGGATGATAGGTATATGACTGTGCTCTCTATATAAACCTTCTTATATAGGTCTGAAATAATTCTTAAAATGAAAATATCATTAAGTAGCCTCAGAATAGGTGGCAATGCTATAGAGAGAGATATTTCCATTCAAATAAATACCATGTATGTCTTTTAGAAATCCTCTCCTTCAGTGGACCAAAAGAGAAACCTTTTGAAAGAAAGCTACAGTTGTATATAATCTTCCATTCCACTCGCCATATTTTTTTTTTTTTTTTTTTTTTGTGGTACGCCGGCCTCTCACTGCTGTGGCCTCTCCCGTTGTGGAGCACAGGCTCCGGACGCGCAGGCCCAGCGGCCATGGCTCACGGGCCCAGCCGCTCCGCGGCATGTGGGAATCTTCCCGGACCGGGGCACGAACCCGTTTCCCCTGCATCGGCAGGCGGACTCTCAACCACTGCGCCACCAGGGAAGCCCTCCACTCGCCATATTTCTGAACCTTGCTCTGTGACTTGGGAGTCTGACCTGGACCAACCACATCAACAGGATTTCCCCATCCTCTGGGTTCTGGTTGGGCTCATTCAATGGTGAGCACCCAAGAAATCAAATGGAAGGGGTAAATTTAGGTCAAAATATTTATTCCTTTGCCTCCCTTCTGCTAGGTTGCCTTGAATTGGCCTGCCCATCCACCAAAGTTCATTGGTCTGCTCAACACAACTCAAGATAATTCTCTCTCCTTTGTGGTTCTTTCTAATTCCAATAACTGCTCTCTGCTTCATCTCTTTGTGCCTATGAGTGGTAAGAATTGAGCTGATATTAGCCCTTAGTCCCTGTGCTATCCCTTGTAAATAGTTCATTTTTTAAATAAACTCTCCTTGAGTTGTCCTTTATAGAAATCATTAGTTTTATTCTCCTACCCTTATTTATACCTTAACTAGTTTTCCACTCCCTCAAAAACAATGAGAATCTAACTTATCTTTATATGTTCATGCAACATTTATTTAACAAGTATTTAGAATATGCTAATAGGGTTCCTAAAGATAAATAATTTTTAAAAATTGTTATTATCATTAGGCCACAGGTAATCTTCAAAGATGCCATAATAAATTAGGGAGACAAAGTCACAATCAACTAATTCTTATTTATATTATCATATTATTATATATTATATTATCCTTAAATTCTATATCACAGTATATGCAAAATGATATGAAACTATAGAGAGGGGAGCACTAAATTTGAACCTTTTATTAAAGTCTTCTTGAGAAGTGCTCCTTAAAATAAGTCAATACACTGCTTCCTTCATCAGGAAAGTCTTACTACAGTAATAATAACTAGTGAACTAATTCTGTATACTTAATGATGTACTTGATTTGCCTTCTGATGTAAGTGTCTTATCTTCTAATGGACACATAATAGTTTGTAGCCCAGGAATGGACCACTTATTTCATAAAATACAATAAACTCAAAAGTGAGACAAATGTCTGCCTTAAAAGTTTATCAATAACTTCTTATATATACACATTTACAAACTGGTTGACAATCTTTTTATACAATAATTCTAATGAGCTCCTATAATAAGACATGTGGCCACAAAAGGTAGAAATTAATATGGCTCTTAATAGTCTTTTTTCTCCCAACTTTATTGCCCTTCAGATAAGGGGAAAAAAGAACTCCATATTTGTGCAGTATAAAAGATTTTACCAATTGCTGGAAGTTCAATCCAAGAATGTAGTGACAGGAGAGAGGCACTGGCACACACACAGGAACAGCACGAGAAGACTGTGATTCTTTTCACTTTAGCTTTATAGTCACTTGCTTTGGAGTGCGTGTAGTTGTACCATAAATATCTCCATTGCCATAAAAATTTGACACCATCCTGTCTGGGTACCATCACCTTAAGGGAAATAAGCTCTAGTTTCTGGACTAGAGAAAAACTTTCATAAACTGTATCAGTCAGTGTCCAGTCAGGATAAGAGAAACCACTCTGTGCATTTCAAACAGAGAGAATTTAATACAGGAAACCAGTCGCAAAAATGCTGGAAGAGCTCCATGAGCCAGAAGAGAGAAGTTCACTCCAAAATCAGTAACTGCAGGGAGCCACTAGGACCAGAGGAGTGAAAGAGGAAATGGTATTACCAGAACCCAGAGTGTGGGCATCTGAGGCTACTGAGAACCCCACTGGGGCTCCTGGTGCCAGTGCCTCTTCAAACACCCACCGTAGCTGCCATTGGAGCAAGAATCCAGAGCTCACGCTGTCTAGTGACGTCTATCTACTGCCAGGCACAGCTGCCAGATGCCAGGAGGAAGAACATGGCTCCTGCCCTCTTCCCAACTCCTAATCACTTGCCAGTGTCTCCCATTAGCAGAACTTAATAGGAAGGCAACTGGCCAGGGAATCCAGGGAAAGTGGTGTGCAGGCTTTCAGCCCCCAAAATGGAGAGGAGGATAGAGAAGGGCAGGGGTGAAACTGAGAGGTCAGATACTCTCAGCAACTAACTAAAGCATATTTTACATTTTCAAGAGGAGTTCAATTGCCTTCTCAGAAATGAAGAAAAGGAGCAATTAGTTCAAGACTATAGTCAATTTTTTAGGTTTTTTCTCCCGGAAATATATTTTCGGACTTTACTGAGATATAATTGACACAAAGCATTGTGTAAGTTTAAGGTGTACAACATGTTCATTTGATACATTTATAAATTGCAACATAAATTATACTTATAAATTTACAAGTTACCACCATGGTATTAACTATCACCTCCATTCTATCACATCTCTCTCTCTTTTTTTTTTTTTTTTTTTTTTTGGTGAGAACATCTAAGATCTACTGTCTTAGCAACATTCGTACAGTATTATTAGCTATAATCACTATCCTGTATATTAGATCTCCAAGCTTGTTAACCTTATAGCTGGAAGCCTGTATCCTTTAACCAAGTATCTCCCCATTTTCCCCACCCCATAACCCCTGATAACCAGCACTCTACTCTCTGTTTCTAGAACTTTGTTATTTTTGGATTCCACACATAAATGAGATCATACAGTACTTGTCTTTCTCTGTCTGACTTACTCTACTTCGCATAATGCCCTCAAAGTCCATCCATGTTGTCACAAGTGGCAGGATTTCCTTCTTATGGTTGAATAATTCCATTGTGCATGCGTGTGCATGTGTCTGTGTGTATCACATTATCTTGATTTGTTCCATCTGTTGACAGACACTTAGGTTGTTTCTATATCTTGGCTATCGTGAGTAACACTGCAATGAACATGGGAGTGCAGATATCTCTACGAGATCCTGATTTCAATTTCTTTGGAGATATACACAGAAGTGGGATT